CCCACCCCACGCCCTTTTCCCCCACCCACATCCCTTCACCCCCACACCCCTCACCCTCACCGCTCGCCCCTGCACCCCTGCCCTGTACGTGCACGTGTGTGCATCGACGCGATGTGGAGGGCACGGGAGGCTCAGATCAGAGCAGGCAGGATGGTCTGCGGCCCTGCGGTGGCAGAACCACCCACATACAGGACGCAGATGCGCGGCAAGGGGCGACCACCCAGGGGGGCCGCGTGTGGGCCTCCTGCATGCCCGCCGCAGCTTTGAGGAGCCCGCAGACCCCTGCTTCTGTCCAACACGCCTGTCCTTCTGCTCCTGCAGTTCCAGAACAAGCCGATGGCCATCGACAACATCATCTGTGCACTCTTTAAGAGGACATTTGTGCCCCGCTACCGGTAAGGGTTAGCCTCAATGCCACGCATCTTCCCGCGTGTCCCCATGACTTGGGCCGTGACCGAGTCTCAGTGTGCGTCTTCCTCGCGTGTCCCCGTGACCCGGGCTGTGACCGAGCTTCAGTGTGCGTCTTCCCCGTGTGTCCCCCGTGACCCGGGCCGTGACCAAGTCTCAGTCTGTATCATCCCCGCATGTCCCTGTGACCTGGGTCGTGACCGGGTCTCAGTGTGCATCTTCCCCGCGTGTCCCTGTGACCGGGGCCGTGACCAAGCCTCAGTATGCGTCTTCCCCGCGTGTCCCCGTGACCCGGGCTGTGACCGAGCCTCAGTGTGCGTCTTCCCCGCGTGTCCCCATGACCCAGGCCGTGACCGAGCCTCAGTGTGCGTCTTCCCCACATGTCCCCCGTGACCCAGGCCGTGACTGAGCCTCAGTCTGTATCTTCCCCGCATGTTTTCGTGACTCAGGCCGTGATCAAGCCTCAGTGTGCGTCTTCCCGCGTGTCCCCATGACCTGGGCCGTGACCGAGCCTCAGTGTGCGTCTTCCCCAGGTGTCCCTGTGACTCGGGCTGTGACTGAGCCTCAGTGTGCGTCTTCCCCACGTGTCCCCCGTGACCCGGGCCGTGACTGAGCCTCAGTCTCTATCTTTCCCGCATGTCTCGTGACTCAGGCCGTGACCGAGCCCCAGTGTGTGTCTTCCCTGCGTGTTCCCGTGACCCGGGCCGTGACCGAGCCTCAGTGTGCGTCTTCCCCGCGTGTCCCC